TATATTTATATATAATTAACATAGTTGTATAGAACTTGATGAGACTTAAAAAATGAGGGGTCTTTCAACTTTAAAAGTTTATTGGATCCAAAGTTATTGTATTTTTTGTGCTGAAAAAACTGATGATTTTTTGACAAAACGCCTCGCCCGTAAGTATGGAATATTTGGCGTAAAATGGCACCGAAATAAAATTAAAAAACACCAAAAATCAAGCACAAAAATCAAAACAAACAATATGCGAAGGAATAAAAACATATACGTAATTTCTAAACAAAATTCTTTTTGTTTTTTTTCTTTAAGAAAACACAAATAAATACTTGTTTTCTGAACAAAATTCATTTTGTTTTCTTTTTTTAAGAAAACATAAACAAATACTTAAGTTAAGGATGTAATTAAACTACTGTCAGACAATCAATACGGTTTTCGATCCTCTCGCTCTACGGCTGACTTGCCAACTGCTGTAACTGAAAGATTTTATCGTGCATTAGATGGAGGCGGTGAGGCTAGGGCTATTGTTCTCGACATATCTAAAGCTTTCGACAAAGTTTGGCATGCTGGTCTTCTCCATAAGCTTGCTTCATATGGTGTTTCTGGGAAAGTTTTTGAGATTATCAAATCATTTCTTTCTAACCGGTTTATTAAAGTCATCCTTGAAGGCCAACACTCTTCTTTATTTCCAGTAACTTCTGGGGTTCCCCAAGGTTCCATCCTGAGCCCTATTTTGCTTCTTATCTACATAAACGATCTTCCTGACAACCTTTCATCTAAAGTAGCTCTTTTTGCTGATGACTCAACTTTATACTCCTGTCTTGACAAAAAGTTTTCTCTTTTCGATCGCCTAGAACAAGCAGCTGATCTTGAATTCGATCTCACTTCAGTAATAGATTGGGGTTCACAGTGGCTTGTCAATTTCAACTCTAACAAAACCCAGTTGTTTACTGCAAACAACTACCGTAATATGGTTAACATTCCTATATTAATGAATGGCAATCCTCTTACTGAGTCCTCCTCTTTACGTCTTCTTGGATTATCGCTTACTACTGACCTTTCATGGAAACCATATATACAATCGATTGCTAAATTAGCTTCTGCTAAGGTTGCTTCTCTTTATCGTGCTCGTTATTTCCTTACTTCTGATTCCATTCTCTACCTCTACAAATCTCTTAATCGCCCCTGTATGGAATACTGTTGTCATACTTGGGCTGGTTCTTCTAACGATTCACTTTCTCTTCTTGACAAGGTCCAAAAACGCATTGTAAATGTTGTTGGACCTGGACTATCTGCTAAGCTTGAACCTCTTTCCAATTGTCGTAAAGTTGCATCTCTTTCTCTTTTCTACAGATACTATCATGGTCACTGCTCAAAGGAGTTATCATCTCTAGTTCCATCAACTAAAATTCATTCTCATTTTACTCGCATTCAGCTAAGTCTCATTCGTTTACTGTATCTGTCCCTGCATGTTCTAAAAACTTTTAGTCATCTAGTTTTTTTCCCCGCACTTCAATCCTTTGGAACTCTCTCCCATCTTCATGTTTTCCTGACTCATACAACCTTCAACTTTTCAAGTCTTCTGTCAACCGTTTCCTTGCTTCTATAACTCTGTTCTTTTTTTTTCTAGTAACTCCCAACTTAATAGTGGTTGCTTGCAGCCTTGTTGGGAGTGAATGCAAATAAAAAAAAAATAAAAAAAAAATCACCATTCCCACATCTTTCAAAAAACACTTTTTTTTTCTAGAGTACCGCAAACCTGTCCGGACACTCTTCACAAAAAGCTGAATAACTTTTTTAATATTAGAAATTTGTAGGATTTTTTTTCTGGAATATAGTTTATTATTAAAGCAATTCTGCATAGTAAAAAAAGAGTTAAAATATACACATAATAATAATACAAGCAGAAAAAACAGGAAAAAAGTAAATAAAAAAACATAAGCAAGCTTGAGCTTAAAATAAAAATTGCGTTTTCTTCTTCTCTTAACTTGTTTAACCATCCTTCTTCTGTAAAAGTTTGACCAGCCACTGTTCTTACGTTTCTGGCTTTTTTTGCAGGATACTTTTAAGCGTTTTGTAATTGAAATTGTTTCAAGAGTATTCTTTCAAGGCTGATTTTTACACGAGTCGCCAATTCTTCTTGAGAAGTTGAATTTAAAGTTGAAATTGAAGTTGCAGTTGCAGGCAAAATTAAGGTTTGTGTTTGTTAAGCAGTTTGAGGCAAAGAAGTTATGCTCCTTGGTGATTTTGTAACTACTGATGATGTTATTAAGGTATTATTAAAAGTTTGACAAATTTGTAATTTTGATTTGTCATTGTTGTCTTGATTTAATGGAAAAAGCCCAATGTTTTCAAAACCAGTTATAATTTGAGTACGAGTGAATGCTTTGTTGGTTCTATACGACTGTGCAAAGAGACTTAGGAAAGTTTTTTAAGACAAATTGCTAAAACCACATTCAACATAAAATTTTCTCAAAATATCACGCCAAACATCTTTAACATGACAAAATACACCAACATTTATAGGCTGTAGCATGTGAGATGAATGGCCGGGAATGCCATTCATCTCACATGGGAAATAAGTGTTACATTGTTTTTTTTTACACTTTAATGCTACACTTAATGACACGTGTGTGCTGTGGCCATCCAAAAGTAAAATACGTTGACCATCAATTTTTTGAATGTGAGGAATAAACATTTCATCAAGCCACTGCAAAAATCGATTACTTTCCATCCAACCAGATGGTGATGTTGTGTAAAGTGTGTTTGGTGGGCCTCCTTTAATTCAATCATCATTGAGTCGATTCTTTGATTTGTAAACAACAAAAGGCGGTAGAAGGAATCCATCAGTGTTAACACAATTGAGATTGTGTAGATTAACAACAGTGTAGATTATTTTTTCGTTATTTCCAGTCAATACGAGTGATTACTTTGCTCCTCTTTTGATAATTACTTTCGCATCGCCTTTGTCACCATTGAAACCAGTTTCATCACAGTTCCACAAATGCATGGCTTTACTAAAACCTATTTTTGCTAAATTAAAATGTTGTTTCAAAACAACAAAATAACGAGCAATAATTTCTGTAGTGCATGACCCTGCTCTCAAAGATGCAATGTTTGTAGCTGTTCTTTCGCTTAGTTCTGTGTGCCATCAACTCATAAATCCTTTGTACCATTTACGACCAGGCGTTCCATTTTTGAACAAACACGTTTCATCATTTTCAATTAAATAGTCTCTCACTAAACTTTGAACTTGATCTATTCGTCTACCAAAGCCCCTCTCGCCAAACATATGAAGAAGGTGAACTAAGGTTAACTCGATAAAAGGACTTAATTTTGTTATATTGCCACTACCAACTACTAAAGTCTTATTTGATTTTCGGTCGGATAACGTTGATTTTGGTATGCGGTAGATTTGAGTTGCGCCTCTTAAGCTTAACTCGCCTTTTTCAATCTTTATCAATGCGTTTTTTATTATCTCCTCAGTGTAAGGTTTCTCATTTGTTTTATTTTTTGCCATTATAAGTTCAGTAAACTCAATTCAGTTACAAATTTTAGAAATTAAAGAAACGAAACACTTTTGTGGTTACTTTGTGTACTTTTGCACTTTAGCTTCGACATTACAAAAGTACAAAACTAATTAACATGAAAGTGTGAAAACTTAAAAATCCCAAATGAAAAAAATTCAGTCAGTGTGAAAAAATAATAAAATAAATTAACAGATTAACCTATGAACTTTTAATTGATATAAGGGTAAATTTATTGTGTCCGGTTTAAGGTGAAAACTGAAGAAAATCTTATTTCCGTCAAAACTTTTTAACGGAGAAAGATTATGAAACTCTAAAACTATTTTTGAAATTAGCAGAAAATTTCCAACAAAGTTGCTTCCTTTGTTTTTAAATTGCTTTTTTAAATCTTTCATGCTAAGAACCTAATTTCCAAAAATAAGTTTGATTTTTAGGGTTAGATTTTGTTTGAACTTAAATATTTTATTAAAGCAATCATTTTAATAACTTTTTTTTGGAATTTTATAATTTTCCACACACTAAAAATTAAAAACTTTTTTGAATTTTGCAAATATTTTTATTTTTAGTGAAGATATTTAGTTTTTTCGATAAGTGTCCGCTTTTACGCACTGTCCGGTTTGTGGTACTTTTAATCTATATAAATTAACCTTAAAGTTTTTAAACGCTGAGAACTAAAAAATTATCTATGAATGTGTAAAAGAGTTCATATTCCATTAGATTCCTCGTCCCTTTTTTAATATATATGGAAAGTTTCATACAAATTAGATCGGTTTTGGTACTTAGGAAATCTTACTTTCAAAAAGTACTTTTAAAAAAATGTGTAACGCGGCAAGTTTTTTTTTTATCAATAGTAGTCTTAAGACATGAATAATATATAAAAGAAACCATATTAAACAAAGTACTTTCTATGTAAGGTTAGAAATAAGTTGAGTTAAACTAATTGATGCAAAAAACTTCAAGGTTCTAGCTTTAGTATAAAAAAAGATAAAAGAGAATAAAGTTCATGAAAGTTACATGTTTTTTTTGTCAAAAATCAAATGTTCTTCGTCGCGCTCTGGAATCGCTATTTTGAACCTCTGTCTCATTGTCATAATGTCATCTCTTTCCATTAAAATTTAAAATAAAGTGTTTTACCTTTTTTTAGAATTGATTTCAAATTAGGTTGAAGTAATATTTTTTCATTTAAAAAAAGTTAATTTTTTTATTTTTAAATTTTTTTAAATTTTTTTTAAGTTAAGTAAACTTTATTTATGTCAAAGTATTTATTTTATTCTAGGCCTTATTAACTTTCGCCACCTTAAATCTCTTTAGTGTGGTTGTGACTAACTGTGCTACAAATCACTAAACCTTTTTTTTTTTATAATTTCTGATACATTTTTTGTCCTCTGCGCTTTTTTTTTCGATGCAGTGATTATAAAAACAGGTCGTTAACGAGTTTATGCTTTGATAATTAATGTTACAGAATTTAAAAATTATGTATTTTAGGATCGTTTGAGAGTATCATGATGGAATCAAATTATCCAGGTAATTCAATCTTTGTTTCTATAACTTTTTATAATTTTTAGCAACTATAATTTGTATAATATATAAAGAGGAATTTATAAAAACGAAACATGCTAAAGACTAAATGATTATATTTTTTCTTTACTTATTTGTTTTTTTTTCAATTCATCGTTATGAACTTCAAACAGGTTTTTATTTTTTGTTTCATTACAAAATATTTTTTACAGTTAAAATGTATTTTAGAATCAAGAGAGAGTTATAAATGGCAGGGTTAAACAGAGTTGATTTTTTTTTTTAACAAAACGCAAACAAAAACTGGTGCTGTTTGTAACTATACCTTGAGCCTAATTTAATTTGATTATGCTGATTTTTTTTATCCAACTATGCTTTGTTTCGTATTTTTTCATAATTTTTCATAATAAATTGCAAAAAGTTGGCAAAATATACCTTGAAAACAAATCACCGCACAAGTGAGCGAATTTTACAATACCGGACGGTTTTTATAGCTTAATAATTTATGGTTTAAAATTATGGTTTAAGTTATACAAACATATAAGTTGTATTTATGAGTATTTCATAAAGTTAAAATATATTCTAGAATCAAGAGAGAGTTATATGTTGGGGGGATTAAACGCAGGTAACTTTTTTTTCTTTTTCTTTTTTTACCAGTAGTCAAACAAAAATTGGTGGTGTTTGTGACTATACCATAAATAATACATTAACTTGATTTGAAGATGTCAATTAAACCATGTTTAGTTTCGTATTTTTTCTTGATAAATTGCAAATAAGAAATATACTTTTCTCAACTTTGAAAAACACATTTTACCGCACAAGTGGGCGAACTTAATATTTTCCGTCAACAAATATTTTACAACGCGCCGGTTTTTACAGCTTGAGATTATAATTTAATTATGATTTAAGTTATCCCCTTAACCCAAATTAATTAAATTTTAATATATATATATATATATATATATATATATATATATATATATATATATATATATATATATATATATATATATATATATATATATATATATATATATATATATATATATATATATAATATATATATATATATATATATATATATTCTTGCATGGTAGTCGAAAAGTTTCTTCCATAAACCGTAGTTTTAAAGTTATCATTAAACTGTGAAAAAATAAGTTTTACTCTCTTCAATAAAGTAAAACAATCAACTATACTTCCGTTAAAGTTGCCAAAACTGTCAATCAATAAAAATGAAATAAATCGATTAAATCCTACCAGGTTTTTGGGAATAATATTTGATGAGAACCTATCATGGAAAAAACATATTATTCTCATTGAAGCAAAAATATCTTTTGCTATAAGTGTATTATATAAATCAAGGGCCTTTCTTGATTATAAATCACGCATAATGCCTTACTTCAGTCTTGTTCATTGTCATCTCTCCTACGCTAATATTGTTTGGGCTAACACACACAAAACTAAATTGTTAAGATTACAGAGCCTAAAAAACCACGCATGTAAAGCAGTTAACTATTTAAAGAGATTAGAAAACCCTTCTCCTGTAATGAAATACATGAATGTGTTAAATATATCATAACTTAATTCGCTTCAAATAATAATATTTATTTATAAGTATAAAAATAACTTGCTGCCAAAAGTATTTTCTGATATTTTTACATCGGCGTTTTCACAAAAATACAATCTTCAGTCAAATACCAATCATAACTATCACTTGAACAGAGTAAAATCGCAAGAGTCTCAATAATTAGCCAAGGCCCATCATTATGGAATCAATTAAAAAATATCAGTATAAAATATTTGAAAAGCACTTTCTCTTTTAAACGACAAATGAAATTGCATCTCCTTAATTTCTGACATACATGTAAGTATGTTTGTATATGTGTGTGTGTGTTAATGTGTATATGTATATACGAGTAATAATTAAAATAAGAAATAACTAACAATGAAGTAATTTCAATATTTCAATAAATATTTAACAAAATATTTTAATATTAAAATATTACGGCCCTGCGAACCGCTAGTTTTTGTTTCGAATCAAATCTCGAATCAAATAAGGTCTTGATTCGCAATTCGAATCACGTTTCGAATCAACATTTTGAAGCCTAAATTTAAACATTTTTTATTTAATAATATATATTTCAAAATAAGATAAAGCAATTGTATAATCTCTTTATTTATGCTTCTTGCCCTGGTTTACCTTTTTAATGACTGATTAAAAGAGTATTTAAGGATAAGTAACGTTATTTTGATAGCGCCAAAGCGCAGAATATCTAAAATATCCACAACAAAAACAAAATAAGTAAGGATTCGATTTTTAAAAATTTTCGAATCTAAAAAAAATCGAATCTCAAATTATATTTTTGATTTGATTCGATTCGAAATTTCGAAGCTTCGCAGAGCCCTATAAAATATTTATGTTATTTTTTAGCTAATGACTCACCATCGTGTCAACTCATGCAAAAGTTTGAACAGATTTCGAAATCGAAAACTGATTCTTTCATATTCTTTCCTTCTTGTATTAAAGTCAACCGGTGTAGTGGTTGCTGCAATACTGACGTAATGGAATGCGTCGCACTAACAAACTCATCTCACGTTTGACGTTTGACGTTTACAAAGTACCAACTAATGGTTAGAAAATTAAATTTAACAAAAAAGTTTTTTGTTATTATCTTAAACTATTTATTTATAAAAAAATTATTTCACTGACATTTGATTTTTTTTTTTCTTTCATGATTTTAGGCCGCCCTTACTTATACCGAGTTAGCTACTTTAATGACGAATCGTGTGGTTGTCAGTGTAAAATAAAGAAAGAGAATTGTTTACCAAAACAAATCTATGATGAAGGAAACTGTGAATGCATATGCGATTCAAAGCCTAAAGCTTGTCCAAGTAAACAGCAGGTGCGAAAATATTTTAAACTAAGTTTTGATGGCGAAGCTTAAATACCTTTTTACTGAAAAAACTAACTTTTTTTTAGTGGTCAGACATTACCTGTGATTGCACTTGCAAAGAAGTCAAATCTTGCAGCGGAGGAAACTTTTGGAACGACATTACCTGTCAGTGTGAAAAAAAAATTAAAATAAAAAAATAAAACACATATATAAGTATTTTTTTTTTTTTTTTCTTGGTGCTTTTTTTTTTTTGAGATATAGACAAGGAAACAATTTTTTAAACTTTTGTTCTTAAAATATAGTTAAAAAGAGTTTATCGTTTTCTAAAATATTAATCACGTGTGACCCCAAACAAAAAAGAGCGCATAAGAGTTATCTATATCAGAAAAAAAAACTATAAAAGATGCCTAAAGTGACACATATCTCAACTTTGCAGCCAATTAATCTTTTACAAATTTATTAATATACTATAGTATAATATTTATTAAGTATAGTTAATATTTTGCTGCATTTTTATGGAAAAAATGTTATTAAATATTGCGATCGGGTGTGACCACTTAGTAATATAGGGTATTTTTGCTACAAGGATCAAATAAGCTCAACTTTTTCAGGAAAACTTTGTTATATGACATAAGTTCAAACACTCAAATGAGAAACACCTAACAATTAAAAGTATATGAAAGCACCTTTAGATTGTAGCTGCACTACGTTTACTTAGAACAATTCTTATCTCAACTTAACTTAAATAAGCTATAAACTAATGTAGTATAAAGTCTAACTACCATGCGGAGTTAGACTTTATACTACATTAGTTTATAGCTTATTATTTAGAAGAAATAATGTTGTCATAAACTAAACTAAAGTCTAAGAATGTGTATTGAGTTGCAAACTTTTTATTATACGTTTTATTATATATTTTCACAGCTTTATTTCGATTTTCAGAAAGATAATTTTATGAAATCTTTTACTTTAAACGAATAGTGACTGTATTAAAACTTAAAATAGATTCTTTTCTGTTTCTAAATGGATTCGTATCTCTCTGAATGTCATAAAAGAGTTGAAGGGTATTTTTAAGATGAATTTAATATTAAAAAAGTTAATCTTTTTTCTTTTTAAATTCTGTAAGTTTTTTTTTTAAATCATTTTCTTCTTTGGTTATGAAAACACGTGATTTTGAATTTATATTACCTGCTACTTTTTTACTGCAAACTATCAACAATAAACATTATTTTAGAAGGTTTGCACCTTTGCGCTTAAAAGTGCATTTGTTTTTGTGATAAAAGACATTCCAGTGGAATCTGTTGTCGAGTATTTGAAAAGGGCTTTTGCAATCTCTTTTTTGAATTAAGTATATAGGTATACACCAATATCTAAAAAATTATTTCATTAATATGATTTCTTATCATAAAAGACAAAAACGAAAATTAATGATACAGTCATTGAGAGTATTATTGGGGTAATAATTTTCAAAACCTTTCTATTCCATGCAATGAAGTTTATTTTACTGTTAAAGTAAACAGAATTTACTGTTAAAGTAACATAAAATACTGTTAAAGTAAACAGAACACCTGTTATTTTTAATAATGAAAGCATGAACTATTAAGTAATCTAAAACCAAGTCGTTTAAACCTTGAATTGGACACTTCTCAAGACATATTTTTAAAAATGATAAGAAAATAAATCAATTATTTAAAAAAAAAAATTGTTTCTTTGTTTGTAATGTTCTATTTTTCTGTTCTAAGCAAGTAACCTTTCTACTTAATATTCTTTATCAGGCATTTTGACGGTGTTTTCATTTTTGACATTATGTTTTAAAATAATTAGTCCATTTTATGAGCCTCAATTTAAAATACAAATTTGCGAAAAAGCTTCTCTTTTTTTTTAATCAAGATATTGTTAACTTTTGTTATTGTTCACTCAAATCTTTTGTTGAACAACAAACTTTTTTTTTTAATTTGCATTTTGAACAAAAAATGTAAACTTTTTTTTTGCGTTTACAAAATGAACCGGAATATTTTGGGGTTCTATTTGTAGTTCTCATAGTAAATTTAATATAACAAAAAATCAAAATCGGAATTAAAAAATGCTAAAATATCACTTTTTTGAATTAATTATTTTGTGAATTTAAACTTAAAATTTAAGCCCAAATAACAACAACTTTATTTTCATAAAAAATCTATCTGTTTTATAAAAGTAGCATATCTTGGGAAGCAATAAAACAATAAAATGTAAATAGCAGCTCTCATTTTAATATTGTAAATTAGTAACTGAATTGCCGTCGTCAATATGATAATTATGAAATCATACCCCCCTTCGTTTTATTTTTTTGTTTGTTTTAGTTAATGTTTTATTCATAAAAATGTTACTATCCTTTTTAATTAAAACAAAAACTTTGTTAAACGTATTTTGAATTTCTTTTTGTATTGCAATTAAATTTTGTAAAAAAGTTTTTTGTTTTAAAACCAAAACTTTACCTCACATATTTTTTCGACACATTAAAAATTTGAACAAGAATAAACAAAGTGGCATTTTTTGTTTTTTACGTGTTTATTTCAACTAAACAATTCAGAATAGTTGAAATATGATTTTGTAAGTATATTACATTTTTTTATAACAATACTTATTTTTATAATTTAAAAATAACAATTTTAACAAATTAAAGTTAATATATCGAGCAGCCATGGCGCAGTGATAGCGCACCTGCTTCAGAAACACAGGATCCATGGATCCGATTTTATAAAGATACTGTAAGATATAATTATAACAAGATAAGAAAAACTGAAGAAAAACTTTTAGATAGTGTTTGTAGAGTATTGATATTTGGCTAAATATTTCTCAAGCATAATTTTCATCTATTAAAACACCAAATCATTTGAATAGACAATAAAATCTAACAAAATTAAACAAAATCAAAATGAGAATGTTTCAATAAATCGCAAACATTTTCAATTAGTTTTTATAAAAGAAAATGAATCCGAGCGCATCCGTTTTTTGTAAATTAATTATGTTTAAAATAATGTAGGGGAAAGGCGCCTATGATGGCATAGCGCCTATGATGGCATACCGGTCATATTTTTATAAATATTGGTTATGGCAAAAAAGTGATTAGACCAACATTTCTATACTGAATTTACATTAGCTTTGTCACTTATGCACAAATATTGCTTTTATAATCAAGAAAAATCGATTTTGGGATGTGCTGTTGTATTTTTAATCCCTTTATATATTGAATATTGTGATTTTAATATTAACTGTTCAGAAATAAAATTTTCATGCATTTTATTTCCAAGTTATGTGCATTTAGTGGAATACTTACTTTAATTTTATCTTTTGAACAAGGCAAACATAGCTTGTTTAAATGAAGACTTCTTTCTACGATGGCATACTGACGAGTTAGGTGTGTTGCAATATTGAGAAGTGGAGAAAACCTTTTTTTTTTCATAAAAACATCATACTTGTTATTGAAGTAAAAAGGAATTTTTACTTCATTAAAAAAATTTATGGTTAAAAAAACACATAAAACGCAATATCTTTTATGCGCATGCGCAAAATTTGACACTGCTGCGTAGTACGAAAAGGTTAATTAGGATGATTACGCGTTAAGTTTCTGACATTTCTGAGGGAAGACTCTTAGGTAAAATAAAATTGTCAAGTTACTCATGATGCTAACCAACCCCATCTTCCCCTATGTTATTATAGGAGCAGTAGTTTCCTATGATGGCATACTTGTGCTTTTTTTTTTTTTAATAAAAATAACTAATAAAAAAGTAAAACTGATCAAAACTCCTAAAATTATTATTGTTCTACATGTAACAAAGAATGTATCCATATCAAAACTTTTGTTCTTGGTCATCAGGATACTAAATAATGAAGCTTCAAAGTTAAGTATGCCATCATTGGCGCCTTTCCCCTATATAAAACTATTCTAACTAGAGGAAATTCAATCACCTTGGCTTAACGTAATCCTTTCAAATCGATTGGTGACAATGGGATAAGCCCGTTCTAAAAAAGAGCGCAGAATCGTTTGCTTTACCATTATTAATCTTTCAGCTATCATAAAATAGCGGAATCATCCTATAAGCATGGAATAAAGCAAATATTAGTGCGATCTTTAAAAAAGGTTTCAACTTAGAACCGTCCGATTACAGACCGGTAAATTTAAAGGATTTGCTCAAACTTCATGAAAGTGTTAACAAAGTTTCAAATTTAAGTAACATATGGCTTAAGAAACTAAAAAACGATAAGTGTATGGTAATGCTTATAGGTAAAAATAATCCAATTATGAATAGTCAAAATGGGTTCCTTTTCAAAGTTAAAAAAACCAAAACAGTAAGGGATTTGGGAGTTTTGATTATATCCAAAAACCTAAAAGTTCATGTACGTGCAAACCACATTGTAGCAAAAGCGAACAGTATACTTGAATATTTGAAACAAACATTTCAATAAAAGAATGAGCGTAAATGAAAAAGACTATATTCTGTTTATATCCGACCGCATTTACATCCGACCACATTTAGAGTATCTTATGTCTGCTTGACGACAACATTTCGAAAAGATATTACTAAAAATGAACGAATTAAACAAAGAGCTGCGAAAGTAGCACACTCTATGAAAAAAATATTGCATACAGGACGAATTGCGAGCATACAGAACGAATTGCGAATTGCATAATCGGAAATAAGAAAAAACCGAGGAGATCTTTATGTTCTTTTCTAAACAACTTCACTTCTAGCAAAACTGCATGCAATCACTATTATATGAATAAAGAAAATAAGATGAAGGGAGTGAATTCTAAAGAACTGATGTTCGAGGAAAAAAACTAGACGAATAAGAATTTTTGGAGCAAATATATTTCTAAGTATCTAAGCCACAGTAAAAAGATGAGAAATAATTGAATGACGAGAAACACAATTATGAGTTTTAGTAGATGGCAAGAGACACTAGCTCTTTAGAACAGCGCCCATTATAGTATTTATAGAATAGAGAAAGTGAAGCAACGATGACGACGACGATGTGACAATGCTTAGAGTTTGGCTGCAAGAGCAGGTTCAAATATGTTAACAATGCACTTTTGAATCTCGCCTAAAAGAAAAAGGCATCATTCAAAGATCCACTCCAGATATTGGAACAGTATTACATACAAGGACGGATTAGAGATATTTATAAATGTAAAGAATAGAATCCGAAATAAAAAAGTGGTGAGCACTATAGAGAGATGTAACCTTGGCAAATGCTAATTTTGCAATTGTTTTGATATATTATTTCTAAGAAAGATCATATGTAAGAGTTAATTCTAAAATACGAAGGGTAAATAACTCATCAAATACATTACCGTTCATAAATATAGGAAGATCTAGGTTATTGCGGCAATGAATAGCTGAAAAAATTGAGTTTTATCTGAGTTAAAGTTCACCAGTCACTGAGAGCTGGTGAACCTTAACTCAGAACTGAATAACATATGTACGGCAGAGTCGTACATATGTCGGTCATAGTTCTCGAACAGCAGTTGTAATTAGATAATTTGATGTTGATTTTTGTAAAATTCAAAAAACACGATTCAGCTCATAACTACCCAGCAAATATTCTATTGCAGATTTTCAGTGGACCTTTATAAACCTTTTTAGCAGTCCAATGTATTTTTGCTTATTGGTTACTTAGTTTACCACTAGTGGCAGCCCCCAAAAACTCCAATGCATCGCTCAAAATATCTCTATAGGTCCACTGCAAATCCATAACAACACTGTTTTCTGGTTAGACTCAATTTTTAATGTTAAATTTAAAAATACATTAAAAGTAATAAAGGACAAAGGGTCAGAAATTAAAATCCCCTGAACAAAATATGTATTCTTTTATATAATCCCAGTGGTTCACAAATTTACTATAAATAAACCGTTGCAACGGTTTATTTATAGTAAAATCTCAAGAAAAAACAACACGTATCTGACTGTGCGCTATTAGCAATGTGATATCAAAAAATATTATATTAAGGATGTAAATATAATCTATGGTGATACTATCTTTCATATAATTAAATTTATTTTGTAAATAATACGAGAGTTCGACATTGTATTGAAAATACAATGTCAAACTCTCGACATTGTATTTTCAATACAATGTCGAGAGTAAATACTTTTTAAAAAATATAAATGTATAATTAAAATATAAAATATAAACTATTATTTCTTTACATAATTTAATTGTGTAAATAAATAAATTATTTTGTAAACTAAAAATATTAAATTATTTATATTAAAGTTGCGATTTTTAAAGTGTGAAAAGATTTGGTTAAATAATTTTAATTAAAGTGTAGAATATAGTTTTAACTAAAATAACAATCATTTTTAGATAATTATTGTTATTTAGTTAAAGCTATATTCTGCACTTTGTATAAAAAAAATACTTTTTTATGTCATTAAACACATGGCTTGGTAGCAAAAATAAGTATTCCCTACATATAAAATTATTCAGTTTTTTCTTTTTCCTGAAGAATTTGTGAAAATAAAGTTACATTGCTTTTGCACCCATGTCTTCAATTTCTTTAAGTTTCTCTTTTAGTGAAGGTATAAAGAGATAAATTTTTGATAGAGAGATTTTAGCTTTGTTCTACGAGCGCTCCTCCATATAATATTTGCGTAGTTTATATGAAAATGTATAAATTAATAATATAATTATTTTAACTGGTGTTTACCTGATATATTTCTTCTTTCATAGAGAATTCCGATACATTTAGCAATTTTATTTGGAGTATTATCAATATGATTTTTCCAAGATAGATTTTCATCAATATATACTCCGAGAAACCATGTAACTTTTTTCTCTTTTTATTATTATATTATCAAATAAAAGGTCTGACATAATATGGGTCAGTTTCTGTTTTTTCGAAGGTGGTTTTGTGTCACCTGCAAAATTTAATGTTGTTAAGTTTGATGATTTATGACAATAACAGGGTTTTATCTTTAATACCATGTCGAATTTATTTTTATAACAGGATTTGACGTTTGACGGTGTCAAATGTTTTAGGCAAATCAATAAACACTCTTAGTGTAAAATAGCTTTTAAAAGAGTCAGTTATATTGCGCGTACAACGCGAAATATGGTTCAACCGAGCTTGCCATTCCTCAACTTACGCGTAAGTTAAAGAATGGCGTGCTCGGAAGAATTTTTTTTTTAAAAAACAAATTAGTTTTCGAATAGTATTTCATTTTCAATAAGATAAGAATAGATTCGGTTATACATTATTATTTCTAAAAAAATTTTTAAAAACTGGAAGAACTGAAAAAAGGCAATATTTTGTTATATTTATACGATTCCCTGCCTTACAGATAGGAGTTATTTTTGCTAAGTTATTTTGCTAAGTTATTTTTAGTTTTTCTGGAAAAGAACTTTGTGCAATAGATGCTCTGCAGATTTTACAAAGGATATTTTTTATAACATCTTAGGAATCAATTACAATATTTCTATTAATATCGTCATACCCAGTAGCTTTAGTACCCAGATCTATTTCGTTTTAATGACTTAAAAACAACTTCAAGTTCATTAAAAGTTAACTTTGAAAAATTTAGATTATTGGTGTTTCAAGCTCATTGACA